CAGGGGAGATCTCAGGATCTCCCCTGTCGGCGCATGCAGAGCCGGCGCTATCCGAGCGCCGGCTCTGCTCTCAGCCTCCCTCCCCACTGCAGCAGGGAGGGAGGCAGGAAAGGACCCGGGGAGCTCAACCAGCAGCTCTGCCGGGTTCCTCCCGCAACGCTCACATCTTGCGAGAGTGAACTCTAACACAAACACAAACACCCTCACACACACATAGCACACAAACAGCACCCTCACACACACATCACACTAACAGCACCCTCACACACAGCACCTCAAACACACAGCATCCTCTCACAGCACAGAAACAGCACCCTCACAAACACACACACACAGCACCCTCACACACACAGCACACTAACAGGACCCTAACAAACACACACACACACACACAAACACCCTCACACACACACAGCACACTAACAGAACCCTTACACACACATCACACTAACAGCACCCAAACACACAGCACCCTTACACACACATACACACAGCACCCTTACACACACAACACCCTCAAACCACCCTCATGCAGCACACACACACAGCAGTGTATGTATGTGCGTGTGTGTATATATATATATATATATATATATATATATATATACACTTACAAATACACGCGGTGTCTGTTTGTGCTTTAGGGTGCACACCCTAATGCAATAGGCTGCGCACGCCTATGTTCAAAGTATTAACAAAGATGTTAAACATTACAATCAAAAAGTGACCGTGCAGCAGTTCTTAAAGTGACAGGTCTTAAAGTGACGGTGTGCATAAGGTTTCCATATGAATACATTTTTGTGATGTTGGTTCTGGAATTTGTATAAAGTGTCCAATTGTAAACAATATTCAATAAAAAGGCAAAAAGACATAGATTTCCATTTCAAATTTCAAAGTTGTTCAGACCGTCAGGTGTCATTGTGTTCAATGTATAGATCCATTTCATCTCTGCTTGTCCTAGAGTCCTTGCATTGTGGTTTTGCAATCTACACCATCATGTGTTTCTTGTATATATTTCTCTATATGTGCTGAGAGGAAGCCGATTGGAGGGCGAATTATACTAAGTATTATCTCTTAAGAATGTCACTATTTGCACTTAGTTTGGGCTTATCACATAAACAGCCACTTTACTGACATTTACTGCTCCACTCTTTTTTCTCACTATTTTTATCTTGCACTGAATTTGTGTGTTTGAGGGTATCACACTTTAGAGTGTGCTAGCAGCAGTCAACTACAATTGGATTGGAAACAGCAATTTAATTGTATTTATAATTTCAATATAATTTCTGAGAAAGAGCACTCCAAAACTAGTATTTTTTTTTTCTTAATTTAGAGGTTAAACTTAGACAAAATTTAGATATGTTCCAACAGATTAAGAATAGGAAATATAAAAAATGTATTTGTGATTCAAATGATTACTGCACTGGTAAAGTCTACAAACGATTTAGGCGTAGAGTAAGGGCAGACTCTGACAATTTTTCACATCAGACTATGAATCATAGAAACATTGAATGTGCCGGCAGATAAGAACCATTTGGCCCATCTAGTCTGCAATTTTCCCTTGCCTTATCTTAAAGCTAGGATAGCCTATCCCATGCATGCTTAAACTCCTTTACTGTGTTAACCTATACCACTTCAGCTGGAAGGCTAGTCCGTGCATCCACTACCCTCTCAGTAAAGTAATACTTCCTGATATTATTTTTAAACCTTTGCCCCTCTAATTTAAGACTATGTCCTCTTGTTGTGGTAGTTTTTCTTCTTTTAAATATAGTCTCCTCCTTTACTGTGTTGATCCCCTTTATGTATTTAAATGTCTCTATCATATCCTCCCTGTCTCCTCTTTCCTCCAAGCTATACATGTTAACTCTGTTAACGATAGCAACATCCCTCAGCCCCAACTGCAAACCTCCAAAGATTCCACAAAAAAAACAAAGAGAATTCTAAAAAGGAAATGCATGTATTCAAACATGGGTCACATGGAGGAAACGCCAGGGTACATAACTTGATTTGCCTATTGCAGAGGAAGATAAAAAAAGTTATTAAATATGTCCAAGTTAAACAGACCCACCCAACAACTTAGGGTAGTGAACTTGTCACAATTTATCTAACTATGATCAGCTGTGTGAGCTTAAGAATGGCCTTTCTTGTGTGTCAGTCCCCTCTTTTGATAATTCTTGTGGACTAAAGATTTAAATCTAGCATTACATAAATACCATCAACTTAAGGTTTAGAAAAAAGCTGACACATATGGAATGAAGCAGAGTTATTACAATTGCCTTCAAGTGTTGCAAGATCTCCTTGATAAGAATCACTCCATACTAACATGACAGGTCTCAAGCCAAGGAGCCATTTTACTCCAGGCATTAATAATTTCCGTAACATCAAACTCTTTATTGACTTGATAAGTAGGAAAATAGAAAATCTAGACATCAATCATCATTCAGTACTCCCCAAAAGTATTCAAACTTGAAAAGAATATCAGGGTTTGGTCTTGCTTAACAAGAATAGCAAGATAACCATTAAGCCAGCAAATTGCCTCTAATAGTCTTATGAGATGGGACAGCTATCATTCCAAGCCTCTAAAATGAGGAACACCAGCAGGAACATATCACAGGGTGTGAAGAAATTGCAGTACCATCAAAGACTTTAAAGCTTTCACCATTGAGGCAACAATCTAGGGATAAAGGTTACCCTAACAAGTGTTGAAGAAAGCATGTACAAAGTCTATAGGGATGGACAGTTCTTTTCTTTTGGAACCTACCTCAACCCACTGATAGACTATGAAATCAACCCATTACATCCATAGGCACCCCCGACACAGGGTGGCATTTTATGTGACATACTTTATAGAGATTCAGGCCTCTACTGACAAATGACCCACATGTTAGAGATGACCTAAGTCCACATGTGACTGTTATGGTGATTATGACATATGTTTCTGGATATCTAGGCTTAAGAGCCTCTATCCAAGCTAGCAGAATAAAGGCTTTTCCTTTTTCCCCATTCATTTTACAAACTTTTGGACATAATATTGTATGTGTTTTTTCATCACGTCCTAATATTTCATAATTATATCAATCATAGTTCCATAGTTACATAGGCTGAAAAGAGACATGTGTCCATCAAGTTCAGCCTTCCTCACATTTGTTTGCTGTTGATCCAAAAGAAGGCAAAAACCCCAGTTTGAAGCACTTCCAATTTTGCAACAAACTAAGGAAAAAAATTCCCTCTTGACCCCTGAATGGCAGTCAGATTTATCCTTGGCTCAAGAAGCTATTACTCTACATTGAAAAATTATATAATTAAAAATTCTGTTTTTGCAAGTATGCATCTAGTTGCTATTTAAACATCTGTACGGACTCTGATAAAACCACTTCTTCAGGCAGAGAATTCCATATCCTAATTATACTTATTGTAAAAAAAAAGCTTTTCATTTGCCTTAGAGTAAATCTTTCTTCCAGTCTAAACGCATGACCTCATGTCCTATGTAAAGTCCTGTTTGTGAATAGATTTTCACACAATGGTTTGTATTGGTCCCAGATATATTTGTATAATGTTATCATATCCCCTCTGAGGCGACGTTTTTCTAAACAAAAGAGGTTTAAATATGTTAACCTTTCTTCATAGCTAAAATGTTCCATTCCTTTTATTAATTCTGTAGCCCACCTCTGCACTTTTTCTAGTGCCATAATATCCTTCTTTAGAACAGGTGCCCAAAATTGCTCAGCATATTCTATATGTGGTCTTACCAGCAATTTATAAAGAGGCAAAATTATATTTTCATCCTGAGACTTAATGCCCTTTTTTATGCATGACAATACCTTACTGACCTTAGCCACTGCAGATTGACATTGCACATTGTTGCATAGTTTGTTGTCTATAACAATTCCCAAGTTCTTTTCGTGTGTTGTTATCCCTAATTCACTTCCATTAAGGGTATAAGTTGCTTGTGCATTCTTTACACCGAAGTGCATAACTTTGCATTTTTCTACATTAAATTTCATCTGCCATTTGAGTGTCCAGTCCCCCAGTCTATCTAAATCCCTCTGCAGCAAAGTAATATCTTGCTCACATTGTATTACTATAACTACATTGAAACATGACTTTTTAAAAGATCATTTATAAACATGTTAAATAGAAAGGGTCCCAGAACAGAATCATGATTTGTTGTTTTTTGTGTGTTCTCTCAACTTATATAGACTCAAGCTGATTCAGTTGGGCCACTTCTTTTTTTTATTTTGCACTCCCACTAATGTGGTGGCCAGTGCCCTATATTGAAACTTTTGATTATTGAGTAATTAATTAAACTAAGAATGGATGCTGAATTTGCATCTTTTATTTAATTGGAGTATTTAGAGTAATTCGAAAAAAAAAGACTGGATTCAGTCTGTGGGTGTTTAGCAAGGAGACTTTACGCATTAGGGGTCAGAAAGTGAAGCATTTTAGAGGATTTAAATTAAAAGATCAAGGCCCTTAGGTTTTCACAATGTAATTTTCTTCCTTAGACATTCGATGATGCAGCAGTCTACCAAGAGTTTCTTGTTCCAAAACTAACAGGAAAAAAATAATCTCTATTGTTCTGTAAATAATGTCCTTTCACACAACCCTCTATCACAGATCCCCGATGCTTGGGACAAGATGTGCTCTCCTATCAAAAGTTAAAAATAGCTCAACATGACGTCAGGTAGAAACAGTTACAGTAGAAAACTTAAAAGATGAAAATGCGATATTGACACATCTACGATGTTTGTTTTATGCTGCATTAGCTAATAATCCAATCAGCAGAGTTTGCCTAAGGTGTGTAGCAATTCCATTGTCACTAGCTCAAACTGTTAAAGTGTATTATTGTTCATTCTCAAACCTCAATCTCTAAACTGACACAGAAGCACCTTAGTAAGGAACCCTGGGGCAGTGGAACATTACCTGAACATTGTTTTACCTTATCCAGGAAGAATTTAGAAATTTGGGATATACTCATTTAAAGCTACTTTAAAAAAAAAAAAATCGAAGTTTTGTGAATTTGCATCACTCAGTGGACTGAAAGTGTTTAAACCTGATATTTTTTAATGTTGCTGTTTTCAAGAATATTGCATTGGAATGAGAGGTGACACTATGCTAGCAACTAATAAAATTATTTGGATTTACCTCATAGCATACCTCATTGTACTTTGCCAATGGAGTCTACAGTCTACCACAGGTAAGAATTAAAAATATCTTTATAATAGTGAACTTGAACAGGATGCTCTAAAGCTTTAAAACTTTAGCTCTCACTATCACCAGCAAGCATGCTCCCAGAGAAATCCACTGAGGATAGTGGGATTTGTAGTTAATTAAATAATTTAGTTGCCCATGCTTAAAATTGTATGTGCCAAATTAGCTATGCCAAATATTACAGCTAGAGTTTAATTTTTAAATAATCAAGTACCACATGTTACTTAATATCTAATTAATGGATTACATGAGGTATTGTGAGAACTCTGATGTATAGACATTTGTTCTAAAATGTTTATGTGGCTAGGATTTCTTAGTGACATCATATAAGTGAAAAGGTTTTAATGCTAAACCTAGATTTGGTAGACTTTTTGTTTGTACCTAAAGATGACATTAAATCGATTTTTGGAGGTGTATTATAGTTACATAGTTAAATGTAATAAATTGACAACAGATTTGGAAAGAAAATTAATCAATATTTGAGACGTTTTCTAATTCAACCATTTTTGTTTAAATTCTGAAAGTTTTTTGGCAAATTTACTTTGATCGCTGTTTAGGGAATAAACCACTAGATCTGAACATTTTCTATAAAAGTAATTCTTAAGTTTGAAAAAAGATCAATAAAACCGACTTTCTGTTTCAAAAAAGGGCATAAGAAGAAAAGAATCTGGTGTAGGCTGTAACTGTTGTACAATTTCAAATAATTTTTAAATAAGCCACTAAAATTTTTTAGATTGCTATTCTGGATATCACAATAGTCTCCATTTCAGACAATACACATTTTTAACAAAATATCTTCCGCAATATTTCTGTTTAATCTGATTAGGAAAAAGTGGGATTACAAAAGGTAAAGCCCTGATATGAATGGGGACTTGGTTAACATGCCAGCTCACTAATAGAAGCATGTCAGTTTGTCAAAATGATATAAAGAGCACGGGGGGTTTATAAGCTGCACACAAATGAAAAAAGATAGAACAGTTTTTAATTTGGTTTTCTGAAATTTTAAAATGTGCGGTACTCTGCATGATTTTTCATATACTGCAAGCAGTGCACCAACCGTCAAGAGGTGTGGGAACTCTATTCTCTCTATAAATATAGTAAAGGAACTGAGTTCTCATGGGTTACCACTGAACTAAGAGACCCTGGATTACAGTCAAAAAGGTACTTGGAAAAGTCAAAGATTGAAAGAATGATACAAAGAAAAGCTTATAGGACAGCCAAATGGTCATTTTAGCAAAGATGCTTATACATTCTACATTGATAGAATAGATAGACTTAATAGTTTACATATGTGAAATCAATGAAATATTAATGTTGGTTCCTTTGCACACCCACAATAATTATATCATTGATTTCATACTGGGGGCAGTTGAATTCTACACATTGCTGGGCAGTAATTTCAACACCTACCCAACAGAACTCGAGTACATCCCAAAACCAAAAATGGACAAGTGGCAACACTAGACACACATCGATTCAGAATTGTGACATTCTTCTTATATTTTGCATTCCCTAATGCTATAATGTAATACATTGTCATTATCCCAGTATATATCAGTTTGCTAGCAGAGAGTTATGGGAGATTTAGTCCATCAAGAGCTGGAAGGCAAAGGTTAGACACACTTGACTTAAACTATAACAAGCTTCATCTGTGTATTTAAACAATACCCAGGGTATGCCTTATTTTAGGAAAATTGTGTTTGGCTATTATATTAAAATGTAATGTCGTCTCTAGGGAGATGTGTAACTTCCTGCTTGTGAGGGGTTTGCCTGTCCTTGAAATATAAATCCTTTTAACTTCTCAGACCACCTAAAGAAACTACTCTACTATTATTTCTGTGTTTTATTGATTTTTGAGAATGGCAGTTTAATGGCATTAGCTAGTTACATTTTTGAGGGGTGACCAGCAAAATGGAGTTTCTTTCAGACCAGTTTACTCCAACCACGTACTCCAAAAGTGCGCTTTTTCATAGTAGATACCCATTTGTCACGTGCCTGGCTGTCCTTGAACTAAGTTTACATAAACTTCTTCCTCACCATTCCACAAGTAGAGAGACTAAATTCTTGTCTGGGAACTGTTGCCTGTTGCAATGCTGTACCTATCTGTGTGCATCCCAAGGAGACAAACTTGCTGGCCATATTTGCCAAGCACATACAGTACACCTGCCACCTGTTCAAAATTAGCTATAGAAATATCTTGAACTTTTAGATTCCTTTTCAGTTTTTTGTTGTTCAGTCATAGCTAAACATAGCCTATTTAGAATGGCTTGGCATCATGGGAAATGTAGTTTATAACAATCTGGGATTTCAGTTTTATCCAATTCTGTTTTCATTCTGTAGTGTATCTGATTTAGGTGGTCACCCCAAATCCAAACTTCATTTCCCTCTGTTATGGACTTTTTTTGCCGCTTAATCACTTGTTTTGACTGAGTTCTATAATATTATTTCATTCAAAATGTATGTGTGCGCGTCTTTTATTCGAACATTTTATTTATAAATATATAATTTTATGTTAATTGAATGCTTCTACATGTTGGTTTCTTACCAATCTGTTTATCTATCTGCATTTTGTTGGGTTAGGTTGATAGCAGGATGTGTTCTTTGGTGAACTAGGATCATCTACTCAAGATATTAACTTCACAGCCAGTATGGTCAGTGTAATTGGTATGGTGTACATGTGACTCTGGTTTGACCTAATCAGTCTCTAAGCATATGTTAATCTCCCCTCATAAAAGATTAGTACGTGGGTGAGTTATATGTCAGGGTGACAAAAAAGGGATAAAATGCGTGGGATATAGAATAGGAGTGTAGAGTTGAGAACATGCATGACTCATGAAAATTTGGTCTTAAGCAATCAAAGAGGTATATGGACAAAGGAAGGTCATCCAATGGAGGTTTAGAAGGAATAACAGATAAATTAAACATATAAGGATATTATAGATAGACTTATTTCATAAACCTTGAAAAATTATATATTTCAACATTTCTAAGGAATCTTTCTGAATGTGTCCCTCTTGATTAGAAAATTCTATACAGTGTCTATAAAACAGCTTCCAAGATCTTTTGTTGTTTATATATACACAGACTATGCATAAACCATATGCATTTATGTAAATATATAAATGTGTAGAACAGAGCCTGGCAAATAATCGTCACTTACATTGTGCACATAATTCGTATTACAACTTTTAAAACATGGGTTCAGTGTACAGGAGGGTAGAAAGAGGGTAGGTCCTGGGAGCTCAGTGAGTGGCTTATGGATGGTCTGCAAGGTGTAGTTATGTCATGTGGGTTTGGTTGCTACCTCCAAAGGCTTGTCCATTGTGGCACAGCTTGAGGGGGTTCATTGTCATATAGTATGGAGATAGTAGAATGTCAAAGTGCTGTCATTGGGATGCAACCACCATTGCCTTGTCTCCCTTGTCTGATGGGGAGCCTTATTTTTTTTTCTCCTACTCAGAGTGAATTGCTGCCATGGAACAATTTGTCCTTAGTTTGGAGGCCAAATTACATCCCTCTGTAGGCACCACCAGCCCAGTACCAAATGGGGCTCTGACTGGTATGCCACACTATGTGAAACAAAGTCTTCTTTCCACTCTCAGGATTCTCACTCCCATGACACTTGTCTGTGCTACAAAAGTCAAGGTAGTGTGTAAGGACACACAAGAGGGAGGCAAGGGCACAAGTGGGGATATGGATATAAGGCTACAAGAAAAAACAAAAATACAGAAGGAGGGAACATGAGGATATAGCCACAAGGAGAGAACATGAGGGTATAGACATCAGGAGATAACATGAGGGTATAGACACGAGGAAAGAACATGAGAATATAGACACAAAAGGCGGCATGGAAACTATTGAGTTATTCACTAAAGTGAGAATTCTTAGGTAGTAAAAGTGAATTCAAAGGCAATTTCAAAATTTAGGTAAAAAAATCTCAAATTAGAAAAAAATTTCAAGTCATTTTTTTGTTCAGTTTGACTTATATTTAACATTTACTTTGAATTCACTTAGAATTCCTGGAAACTCTCATATTTGTGAACAACCAAGGGGGACTTGGAGACAGACAGATAGATGACGGTGACCAATATGGAGTAGTTATTATCAAAAGAGTAACAAACAATGCGATAGTACCTGTTGAATGGTAGTAGGAGTTGTGATGATATCAACTTGCCAAAAATATATTAAATTATTGTAACAATATTTGAAAAAACAATTAAATGGGTGAGACAAAGCAGACAAACAAAACTTAGTTCATGTCTGACATGTTATACACCTTTAAGGTAGCTTACTCATAAGCAATTTCAAATATATTCTCATGTTTCTAAGAAGGAACATTTGAATACATAGTAACCTCAGTACAAAGAACAAAAACACAGAAACCATATCATAGATACATAGAATAACAATGATTTAAACAAGCCAATACAATTAATAAACAAAATGAACACATCCTATGCTTACATGCAATAAAAGCAGAACGGGAACCAAGAAAGGAAGAGTTGAAGGAGGGGGAAGAATCTCATTTTGACTAGCACTGTGAACATGTAAAGTAACTCAGACAACGGTACAACCATAATTGAGGCATTACCAGCGGAATGGTGATATTACATGTTCAATTGGGATGGGTGTAATTGCCTGATTTTCATAAACTCTGTAACAAAGAGCACCCACATTTTATGTTTTCCATAAATGCATTTTTATTTGTACAAACTCCTAGTACAGATTTGGCAATGCCAAATAAAGTGTGGGTATACCCTCAAATAGAAACACCAGTTAATAAGCTTTTCATTAATTACTCATGACAAGACTTGTATCATATTTTAGTCAAACATCTGATTGCAAGCTTTTAGTGGCTGTTAACATTTTATTTTAGTATTAAATGTAAAAGGGCACTCCAGTCCCTTAAAGCCCTACAACTCACCGTGTTATAACAGGGTTATTCACTAAGATGAGAACTCAAGGTGAATTTAAAGTGAATTTAAAATTTTTTGACATCGTGCCTCAACTGGACGCATAGATGAATTAAAGAATTGTTTCCAATTCTGCTGTTTTGGCCTTAAATTTGAAATTCACTTAGATTCCTAACAGTAGTGAATAACCCTGTAACAGACAAAACAGACAAAATTGGCATTTTTATGAATATTCTTAGTTCCACACTCCTGGCTGTCAATCAGACAGTCCTGAGTGTTTCCTGCTCACTCACTTTGATAACATATTCAAAGTGATTGTGAACAGCACTTCTCGTAGGATCTACATTGGATCTGCGCTTCTCTATGAGAAGTATTTTAGTTGTAAATTACAGCAAATACCACTTTGTGCCATAGATCCCCTGTGCTTCTCTACGAGAAGCATTGCATTTGCCCAATGTTCATCACTATTAAGAATCTCCTGGGAGCAGAATGGAGATGCAATTAAAAGATGACCTTGGTTTATTTTTACCATTAGAGTTTTCCTCATTTAAATGACAGAGGAGAGAGTGTTTATTTTACAAGAATGACTGATCCATGATAAGTTGTACATCTGGATTGTTTGTCAACTCAGTTCTTTAAATAGATCACAATAATGGTTATTGGAATCGGAGAGCGCAGCGACATGAGTTAAACAGAATATAGTCTTCAATAAGAAGGAATGCATTTAAGTGCATTGATATGATTGTCTATTTGCATAAACACTTTTTGCTGTGCAAATTTTAACTCACTTAGAACAAGGCCCAAACTATTCTATGTACATTTATTAACTTGGAGGGGAAACATTGATTGCTGGACCGTTTATTGCTCTAAATTTTCTAATATGGGGCAAAACTTGAGGCATGGACATTTATATAACTTTATATTTTAGTTTTTGCCATTAATGGACACTTTTGTAAATTAGAAGTGTAAGAAGCTGCAAGTGGCCAAGTATTTTTTATTTTTTGAGGTGCGACTATTACAATTGTCACCTTCACAGTTAATTAATGAATTATTTAATATAAAATATTACAGATCATACTGTTATACAGATCTTAAGCAAATATATAGATATATAATATTTATAGATCTAAATATTTTATAAACGTTGGTTTGACACCTTCAATACCCAAATACAGTATAAAAGTTTTTATTTTCATGTATTTTTGTAGTATGAAGTTTAGTCCATAATGCCTCAGTTATGCTCTAGTTATCATTACCAGCCTATAGAGGATTGCATTTCACTGCCAGATGCCACAGGCTACTGATTAATTTCCTATAAATTTGCTGAAAGCTTTCCCCCTCTTTTCGAACAGCACAAGCAGTTTCAATAAGTCAGCTTATTCTTACAGTTGCAGAATGGAGAGGAGTGAATAGACTTTACCATTTCACTGCCAGCGTTAGATTTGCAGTGTCTGACAATCTTTATTTATAGCAATCAATACAGTACTTTTACAAGTGAAAAGAAAATACACTTGTCATTTATATTATGTAGTGTGAGTATCGTTAGCTGAGAACAAGGATTCGTTTTCAATTTTACGTAAAGAAATAGCTCTACAAATATGTTCAATAGACCCTCAACTGACTCCTATTGTAGTATGAGCTTAACTACATGTATATCATCTTAAGATATGGAAGGGACATGGGAGAGAAAAATAGAGAGGCAAAATAAAGGGTGTGGAGGGTCTTTTCAGGTTTGGATACATTAGGAGAGATTGAAGTATCTAAACCAGTTTATGCCTATCTGCGTGGTATGTAGTCTAGCCATAATGTCCATGTCTGTGCACATTTCTCAAATGTGCCCTTTAACGCCACCGTTGTCAAGTCCATCAAGTATATTTCCACCACCCACACAATCCACTGCTGGAGAGTGAACTCAGATTTTTTCTTCCAAATAATAGGAATAAGGGATTTTGCGGTCGTTAATAAGTGCTTTATAAGACATTTCTAATGGAACTCTGAAGTAAGTGACTTAAAATATGCTCTGGGGAATTTGATGAGGATGATTTGAAATAAGTATAAGGTCCTGGGTAGCAGATTAATGTTCACGTAGTTAACGTAATAAACTGGGATGACCACCTGCTTTTATCTGACGTGAAGGTCCATAATAATGGGGCAAAATTATCTCAGCATATTTCCTAACTCCTTGGAAACCTATATCCCAAGATTCTTTAAATGATCAAACAAACAGAAGGAGGGTACATGAGACAACCATGTCTCATCCCATTCTGGATCTGTAGAAGCACAGAAAGAGTTCCATTTACACAAACTCTAGCACTCGGAACAGTGTATAAGGAGGACACCAAATTGCAGATATTGGGGCTGAAGCTCCTTGACTTTACCTGTATGCATTATTCAAACACTATTGTCGTATTTTCCTACTCTGTACGGTGGATAAATCTAACCAGATCCGGGTGGACAAATTGAGGTAGAATTCCTCCCATTTCTAAGGGCCATAATGTTTGTGAATAGATTTAATATTTATCTATTTTTGTCACAGCTAATGTATGTGAGAGGAATTGAATTTTTGCTTTAAATTTAATACTAATATTTCAGACTCTTTGTGAACTATTTCAAGAAAAAGGACTTTGTATACTGTCTAAAGCTGTTCATTTCGAAAACATTTTATGAAGGATGAAAGAACAAGTGAAAAATAAACATTTTGTAAATTTACACAATTTTAATTTTTAAGTTTGCAAAGTGATCTATACACGTAATTGCTGTGTTATATGTTTATATGCTAGCTATGGTTCCCTTGCTTCATAAAAAATGTTATGCTACTATTGTTTCAATCAAAAAATGCTTGGTAGTGAATGGGTTAAGGTGCTTCGTTGAACTTTTGGTTAGTTCATGACCCAGTACTAGCTGTTTAACCCCGTAAGGACCAAACTTCTGGAATAAAAGGGAATCATGACATGTCACACATGTCATGTGTCCTCAAGGGGTTAAGGAATTAGATTAGTCATTTAGAAGGAAACTAAATTATTTTATTTACTTAGAAAACCTATATTCACATTTACTGCAGCTTAAATACACATCACTGTGGGTTTACTGCTGTATAGGTACACATGGGAGACATGGAATTATATTGATCTAATATACCAGTACTGCTTTTACGATCCATGCTATGTTTTTCAGTAACCCTGCCATGTGGAACAAATGTTTCTTGTCTTCCTCCAGAAATGTGCAGTCTTAATTAAAGGCACCTAGACCATTGAATCTCATTGAAGTGGTCTGGGTGCAGTGTCCCTGTCTGTTTAACCCTGCAATGTAATTATTGCAGTTTCTCAGAAACTGCATTGTTTTACATTGCAGAGTTACAGGAACACCATAAGGTCAGGAACACAAACATGTATTCCTGACCCCCATAGTGTTAAAACCACCATTTAGCCCCCCTGGGCCCCTCATGCCTCCATAAAAATAGCAACATCTTACTTGTATTCAAGCCTGAAGCTGTAGCTCTGCATGCTGTTTGCCTCAGAAAAACAAGCTGTTTGCTGACATCATCAGAAGTGGTGGTCTGATCCAATCACAATGCTTTTCCATAGGATTGGCTGAGACTGACAAGGAGGCAGATCAGGGGCAGAGCCAGCACAATTCAAACACAGCCCTGGCCAATCAGCATCTCCTCATAGAGATGAATTGAATCAATGAAACTCTATGAGGAAAGTCCAGTGTCTGCACACAGAGGGAGGAGACATTGAATGTTTGGATGCATTTTAGGCAGCCATGACCCAGGAAGGATCTCTAACAGCTATCTGAGGAGTGGTCAGTGAAGTTATCACTAGGCTGTAATGTAAACACTGCATTTTCTCTGAAAAGACAGTGTTTACAGCCCGAAGGTAATGATTCTACTCACCAGAACAAATTCAATATGCTGTAGTTGTTTTGGTGACTATAGTGTCCCTTTAACTCCATCTCTAGTGGCTGTCTGACAGACAGCCACTGCAAGCTCTTTCCGTTCCCGATATTTGACGTCCTCACGCTTTGCGCTCGCTGTGCATGTGCATTAGGACCCACCATCTCTGTGCCGTTGCGTTAGGAGGAAGCCTAGCCAGCGTAAGTAAAAAGGCTTTTTAACCCATTAATCAGTACTCCACTGGGGGGGTACAGGTTTCCATTCCCAACACTTTAGTGTTCCTTAAACACAAAAAAAATGGCAACTTCTAAATAGTGCTATTCTTAAACCAATGACTTTCTATACTTCCATAACAACACTGCAAGAACTTTCTATACTTCCATAACAACACTGCAAGTACTTTCTATGCTTCCGTAACAATACTGCAAGGACTTTCTATGCTTCCGTAACAATAATTCAAGCACTTTCTATGCTTCCATAACAATACAACTCTTAAGAGTCATGTCCTGAAGATCCAAGTTCCCAGATCCAATAAACTGCATTAGTGATGCCCTATTCAATCCAAGTGTATAGGGAAGAAATACACTTTTTCTGCTCTCTTTCAACAATCTTCTCCCTCCAGGATATACCAAGAACTGTAGCCTCAGACTTGTCCACACCCCCAATCATAAAGAACAGAAAAGGGAGAGGCTGATTAATATGAAGGCGTGGGAGATATGAGAGATGCAGAAATGGAATGTGAATGCAATATGGCTTTCCATTCACTTTTTCTACCCTTGCTTTCTTATCTCTTTAAATCCAAGATATTAAATGAAGTTGTGTGCTTAAACCTCCATGGTACTGTGATATTAAAATACCGACATATAAACATGTAAACCAACCACCCAATCTTTATACCAATTTTGAACTCCTTCACTGGGACAGCTTTACAAACATTTGTGGGATAGCTTCTGTCTAGGGATTTCTTTATCCCATCAGTGTATTGGATAATTTAGTCATGCCTTCTCACTTTTTCCTTACTTCAATGTTTTATATACTTATAAGGTTATTTACTAACATGAGCATTTAAAGGGAATTTCACGTTTTAGGTCAGTATCGTTGAATATGAAGTGTAGCTGACTTCGAACATTTTTCCAATTTGTCTATTTTGGCCTTACGTTTGAAATTCACTTTGAATTCTCACTTACATTACATTTTTAAATTTGTAGTGATCAATTTATTAGGAACACGTATCGAGTAAGTAAAGGAATAGCCAATTGCTCAGGGGTGCGAACAAGGTATATCCCCAGATGTTGTAAAACTACAACTCCCATGATGCTTTTCATGCTTTTAGACTGCGTTTAGAATGACAAAGTAACATGGAAGCTGTAGTTTTAAAACATCTAGGGATCTACCTTTTGGGAACCCCTGGTATAGACCATGGTTTATTTATATGAAACTGATGTTTTTTGGATTAAGCTTGTTAGCATGTCAAGATTTTAAATTTGGCACAATATTTTCGGAAAAATTCAAAACAACATTTTCTTAGCTAGCATAATACTAAACATTTCAGTTCATTTATGAATATTTATAAAGTAAAAGCCGGCACACGTGTACAGTATTATTTACTAAAGTGTTTTATTGAAGCCTAATAGAATTCTTAATAATTAAAATTTTAGTGAATTTCACGGAAAGAATTAAAATCTGTATAATTAGTAAAACAAATATGAATAACAATCAGACATAAAAGAAAAAAAACATAATAAGAAAAAAGAATAATACCTAGGTACATAAAAACTTGAAATGTAAATAAACTACACACAAATTTAGTTAGACGAATAGACTTTGTATATGTCCAAACATTTATTGGTATAAAGAGTTTACATTTTTAACCAATGATGAGGACTAAATAGGCGGATACACGCCCATGAAAGTGGACTTAAAAGCAAGGCAGCAGCAGGATGGGAGTGTGATCTGAGGAAGCCGATTTTGTGGCGAAACGCGTCATCACGCATGTCCCGTGGTTACGTCATTAGGCTCCGCCTCCAGGAAGTGTTTGCGGTATTGTGCGAACGGAATACGTTCCAGAGAAGGACCGAGGGAGCTAAGTGACACCACTTTGGTGATTTTTAAATTGTGAAGATTTGCTGAAATTAAAGAGCTTTTTCCGATTTGCTGCCGTCTTGTGACCCTTGGCTTTAAGCATATACAAAGCGGATACAGTTAGAGCAGACTTATCTGCTCTCCACTTGTGAGTGCAATTATATATATTGTCTCCATATTATAATTTGTAATACTGTATTACACTATGTATTTCTTTTTGCTTTTCATATATATGTACATATAATTCGGAGCAACCTGATCCAGGGTATATACAGCTGGGTATTGTAAGTGCTCCGTTTATTTTATTTATTCTATTTCTTTTTTCTTTTCACTATAGCACTGGTATACTAGTGGCATTTGCACTTTTGCACTTTTTTGTACTTACACCAGTGTATGTAATATTAACACACTTATAAGAGAGAGGCTGTGAATTGACATAAGCACCAGAGTGTTTTTAAAGGAATATTGCACATTTTTTGTCTTAAAGACACAGCGCACCTTTTTTTTTTGTATTATTGTATTTTTAGTGTTTTATGAGCTATTGCACTTTATGAGGGAGCTGCTTTTAAGGTTTTAAGGTTTTTTTGTTATATATATTCACGATTTTAGACGTGTATTGAGCGCCATCTGTTATTTGTTCTTTTCTCTGGTGTATTTATTGGTATGCACTTCTGTTTTTAAGTTTCAGGAGAAGTTAGCACTTTTTTCCCCCCAAAAGACTTTTGGTCACACAACTAGTTTAGAGTAAGGGTTATTCAAAAAAGTGATTGAACACAGTGGAATATAGTGTTTTATTCCACATTTACCGGGGCTAGTCACTATAGTGAGTATTCAGAGTGAATTTAAAATTTATGACCCAAATTGTGAAAAAAATATAGTGAAACAATATTAAATTCACTTTGAATTCTCACTTTTATGAATGACCCTGTAAGACTTTTTTAATAGCACAAGTCACGATACAGACGTACATCCAAGAGGTATTAGTGAGCACGAGTCACGATACAGATGTACATACAAGAGGTTTAAACTATACAATAAATGTAATGTCAATAATGTCATGTAAATACATGAATGCCTCCACTGTGAATGAATGAGAACGTAAACCTACGTAAAGGTACCTAGAAGTGGGGGGTTACATGTATGTTATCATTATGATGACAATGCTGGCTATGTTACCATGGGAGGGGACACTGTTCCTCCTATAGCATAGTGGTTATAACTAAAAATGTGGTGGGGAAGAAGTAGGACATAATTGAGGTATGTGGGAGCATCCCTTTAACTTCATCAAAAGGTACCATTTGGTATATTGAAATGGTTTAATTTCTTTAAACGATCTATTAAAGAATGAGCTTTGAGATATGCTAGAATATAATTCTTTTTATATAAATCACTAGGTTTATAGAATGTTGAAATTTCCGATATGCTGTTATAATTAAGAAAATGGTTATATAAATATATGATAGTATTGTGCCACCTTGTGGATATCATTAACTTAGCATGTGAGAAATGCTCAGAATTGACTTTCAGTATTTGTGGAATATAATTATTCTCAGTAAGGAATAGCAAAGGTCTTTTAAAAAAAAAAAAAATGTTTTAATTAATAGTGACTAAGTGACTTCTAGACTTGGCCATTTATTTTTGCATGAATTAAAATTCGGCCACATTTCTTGCAATTTGTTCAATCGAACGAAACACAAATTAACAAATGTATTTATTTAATTGTAGCCCCACTGTGTGGGCTGGGTTACCTGTGCCAGATCCTCCTTTATTACAGTCACCACTGGGCAGATCATTTTATTGGAGGTGGTTGCAGACCCCTAGTCAGTAATGGGGTTAAAGTGCCCCATATTTGTGTCCCTTGTATATTGTATTAATATTAACCTCCAACACGCTATTGGTGGGGGCGGGTGTAGACATTAGGTCCTCTATTAGCTGCTCACTATTTGGTAGACATGCTCCAACCTGTGACATGGCAGGTAGGGGGCATGAGGGAGTTTGTAATCATCAATATAGTTTATATGTTACTTTATAAGAATCAGGATCCACACCACAATTTACAAAACTAAATGTAATACTTTATTAGCAAAAATTATCTAAACCCCTCCAACATTTCTGCACCTCTTTGGATACCTGTCCCCTTGGCAGATACCCTGGAGAAAAGCATCCAGGGAGGTGCCGAAACATTGGGGTGGTTAAGAGGCTTGTGTCTGTCTATGTAGGCTATTGAAATGCTGTATATGTTTATTTCTTTGGTATTTTCTAGTCATTCTTACTGTGTCTTTTGTCTTGCATTTTTTTTTATATGTTGTATAATTTTTTGCTAATAAAGTATTCCATTTCGTTTGGTAAATTGTAATGTGCATCCTGAGTCTTACACAGATATTATTTTTTATGACATTTAGGGGAAGTGCCTACTAGGCTTGCACCTTATTTCAAATAATTTAAGTAAATAAGTACATCCTCAATGCAACAGGAGGTGGTTAGGGCTTGGGTGCCCCTAGCCACCACAGGAATTAAAGTGCCCCAAATATTAGGACTACTGTCCACCCCTCATGTTTCTTATATTATTAGCCCCAACCAGCCACCTATGAGTGCAGCCTGAAGGGGGTCATTAGGTCCTCCCCATTATCATAATTATAGCCCCCAAATCATTATAATTAGAGACAGTCACTAGTCTTTTATAACAGTGTGCAGCCAGTGGTTTAATAAACATGCCCTTATTCGTGGCACAGCTGGTTAGAGGCATGAGGGAGGTTGTAAACCTCTCTTATAGTTATATGGGGGCAATATTGAATCCCATAGGGTTTTACCTGTTAATTTAACCCTTGAGGATTGGGGGAAGGAAACAGTGGGGAGCTCAACTCCTTGTCCCCTCCATTTTTAACACCTCTCCCGAAGTCAGTGAGTGAGAGGTTAAAAATGAAATTGGTTTGTCTGATTTTAGTTTGCAACAAAAATGTGCAAACGAAATTCAGACAAACCAAAACAAAACACGGACGAAAATCAGTTCAGACAAATAGATTTTTTTATTTTCTAATGAAACTATATGTACAAACCATCCATGCACAAGTCTAGTGAGTACACAGGTGGTGTGGCATGCTGGTTCCTAAGAAGTTACCATCAGCTATTTTTTAAATAATATGTCACCCAGACCCAAAGTGACTGAGTCATGCTCACTTAACTTTGCATTGCAATGCTGAGCTTATCCCATGACCTGTGATTTATTGGCATAGCAAGGGTTTCTGTGCGGTGTGGTTCATGCGCCATATTTCAGCTGCAGAAAGCCATTGCATGAGCTCTGTTGAAAAAAGTCCAAGAATTTGAATCATTATACACAGTATGTCTGGAGCAAAAGTACAAAACACACAAACTTGGTGAAAAAGGGTGAAAATAGGGAGAGGGGCTAAACTATGTATTATTTATTTTGAAACAAAATAAAGAAAATTACCGTAATGTAAAATTAAAAACAGTTAGTTATGGGACAAAACTTTATTATTTTTAACTGTAACCCAGCATACACATTGTACATAACATTTAATAGTGAGCAATGCCATTTCAATTGCTATAGATTTTACAGATTTATGCCTTATGGCTGTCATTGATATTTTCTATAAGGTTATTGCAGTATTAAAGGACCACTATAGTGCCAGGAAAATAAACTTGTTTTCTTGGCACTATATAGTCTTTAGGTCCCCCCGACCCTCAGGGCCCCCCTCCAACTGGGCTGAAGGGGTTAAAACCCCTTCTGCTACTTACCTTAATCCAGAGCCGGGCTCCCTGAGCCGCGAGCGCATTCAAACCGCCCATAGGTGAGCATTACTCAATGCTTTCCTATGGACGTTCTGATTGCTCAATGTGATTTTTCACATTGAGCGTCGCCGAAGCGCCTCTAGTGGCTGTCGGGGAGACAGCCACCAGAGGCTGGATTAACCCTGCAATGTAAACATAGCAGTTTCTCTGAAATCCTATGTTTACAGCTGCAGGGTTAAAACCTGGGGGACCTGGCACCCAGACCACTTCATTGAGCTGAAGTGGTCTGGGAGACTATAGTGGTCCTTTAAGTTCCATGAACCAAATAACCCATTTGTATTTTCCATGAACAGTCTTTGGTTTTTACATACTGTTCATAAAAAAGAAATAATGTTTGTTTTGTTTTATATTGCCATTTATTTTCCAGTTTAACAGATCTAACTGTCTTTTGATGGCACCTTTATGCGCTTAGGGGAGATTACTGACCCCTTAAACACATAATTTAAAGGTATTTTTTTCTATTTGTTTCTTATTAATGGATGTTTCTCTGATACATTTACATTGATTCTAATTTGCCATCTCCCGTGTCAGATATTTGTTTCCTTTTACTATTATTTAATGAATAATTTTCCATCCGTACCTACTCTGTCATCTCTTCCATGTCTTCTCTTCTCATATCTGCTCCGTCTTCATCTTTTGTAAGCTCCTCCATCGTGTCTTTTTTCCCAGACAGATAGGTCCATCTGATCTACACTGATCAGCGACAACATTAACCCCTTCAGGACTGGCCTGTTTTTGCAATATTGTACGTTAAGGACCAGGGCTCTTTTAACACTTTTGTGGTGTTTGTGTTTAGCGGTAATTTTCCTCTCTCTCATTTACTGTTCCCATACAAGCCATATATTGTTTTTTTCAGGACAAAATGGCTTTCTTTACATACCATTATTTGTTTCATGTCATATAATTATTTAAAATTTATTTAAAATTGAAAACAAATTGAAAACAAAACATGTTTTTTGACTTTTGCTTGAAAAATCTTTTACCTACCTACGAAAGCTAATGAAAAAAACTGCCAAATAGATTCAAAATTTTGTCCTGAGTTTAAAAACACCAAGTGTTTACGTGCTTTTTTGCTTTTTTGCAAGTTATAGGGCTATAAGTAAAAATAGGAAATTGCTGTTTCAAAATATATATATATATATTTTAAACATTCTTTATTTTTCAATTTTTCAGAAGTATTTTGCAACCGTGGTATATACATTTGTCTTATGATATTTTTAAAATGTATCAATAGTGACATTGTAACACAATTATCTGTCATAAATCTCTGAATCACACCCCACATGTACATATTTTTTTTAAAGTAGACAACCCAGGATATTCAATATGGGGTATGTCCAGTCTTTCCTAGTAGCCACTTAGTCACAAACACTGGCCAAAGTTAACGTTCATATGTGTTTGTGTGTGAAAAAGTAAAAAACTAAATTGAATGCTAATTTTGGCCAGTGTTTGTGACTAAGTGGCTACTAAAAAAGACTGGACATACCCCATTTGCAATACCTTGGGTTTTCTTCTTTTGCAATTAGTATTATATATATATATATATATATATATATATATATATATTAATATCAAAATACAGTTAGAATAAAATTTCATATAGATATATAATTTTATTTTATTTTTTATTATTATTTTTGAATTTTAATTTAATTTAATCTACTTATTATTTGTATTTTATAATATATATACAATATATATAGTTATTATATATATTAATAGGTGAACGCTTGGCACTCACCTCCAAAAAAAATATAAATTTGTAACTCACATGCCTGGGTGCAAATTGTTGGCGTCAAATATATAAACAAAAATAAAAATCAAAATGCACTCACAGGTCTTCTGGTTAATAGGAAAACTGGTGCTTTAATAAATCATCTGTGATGTACAAAAAAAAATCAATCGACGTTTCGACCCTGCCGGGTCTTTTTCAAGATCATATAATACATGACAAGAAAGTGTTTATATATAAAATACAAATCTAAGTGAATAAACACTTACCCAATGGTGAAGTGAGGAGGAGTGTGTTTGCCCATTAGAACCCGGAAGTGAATGGAAGCTGCACACAACGTCACGTGATCAGGGCGTCGTACAGGGAAAAAGTGGTTGCCAAGGCAACAATACACAAAGTAGAAAAATCCTATGCCGGGAGCAAGTAGATCAGTGTGAAGCAAGGAGTGGGTAGTGTAAACTACCAATACAAAGTGAATGATACAAAAGTCAGGAGAATCGAGTACATAAGCAACAAGTGCTGTGCAGTGTCATGTGAAAACCTGAGTGATAAACGTGTAAGCACACAACAAACAAATATAATAAACTGTGAAAAACGAATACCTGACATCATAAATAAAATCAAAGCAAAAGAGCAGAGTATATACAAAAATACTGTATACTAAATTATACAATTATCTTATACATGATATCCACTAAAGTGTATAGTATGCAAAATTAGTAATATAATAATTTGATGCTAGACAATATGACATAAACACCAAGTGACACACGGGTTTTTTATAATGAAAATATATTTAGTTTAGATGTTTTTTCATTATAAAAAGCCCGTGTGTCACTTGGTGTTTATGTCATATTGTCTAGCATCAAATTATTATATTACTAATTTTGCATACTATACACTTTAGTGGATATCATGTATAAGATAATTGTATAATTTAGTATACAGTATTTTGGTCAGTGTTTGTGACTAAGTGGCTACTAAAAAAGACTGGACATACCCCATTTGCAATACCTTGGGTTGTCTACTTTTGCAAATGGTATGCCATCATGGGGGTAATTTTCATTCCTGGGCTACCATACAGTCTCAAAGGCAACGTAACCAATCTGGCGAATTTCAATGTGAAAAACTGAAACGCAAGCCTTATATTTGACTCTGTAACTTTTGAAAACACCTTAAAACCTGTACATGAGGGGTACTGTTATACTCGGGAGACTTTGCTGAACACAAATATTTGTGTTTCAAAACAGTAAAACTACCACAACAATTATATCGTCCGTGTAAGTGCCATTTGTATGTAAAAAAAAATGCAAAAAACTTAACTTTCACTCACGATATCATCGTTGTAATACATTTTACTGTTTTGAAACACTAATATTTGTGTTCAGCGAAGTCTTCTGAGTAAAACAGTACCTCCCATGTACAGGTTTTATGGTGTCTTGGAAAGTTATAGGGTTAAATATAGTGCTAGCAAATTAAATGCCCTATACTTTCGGCCTGGGTTGTCAAGCAGGTCCCGCAAATTGTAATTAATAAAATGACCTAATTATGTAAAATTATTACATAAATATATACATAGAATTAATGTATATATATATATATATATATATATATATATATATATACTTGCTTTTCCCACAGAAACATTGTTTAACATTGTATTAATTATTCACAGACTTCAGGTGGAAGGGGTTTTCAATCACAATTTTTTCCCCACCATAACCTATTTGGATTTTGCTTCCCAAGCACTAGTAAGCCTCAATAAGCAAACCAGTAACCAACCTCATGCTGACGAGTTGCATTAACAACGAAACAGCTGTCCATGAGTGGTTCACTGGTTTTGCATCTTTTCCTAAATTGTGTTCCAAGCTGTTGTATACAGCAAACACAGATTAAAAGGAATCCATGTTTAAAATGGAATGAGGCAAAAATGTGATTCTTTGTTAAACTAATTTGCATATGCCCACCCAGAATCCTTTGCGGTTGTAACATCGCTGCAGTTATGGGATTTCTGTGGGAAAAGCAAGTCTTACGGCTTGACTGGTGTGCAGATTTTTGTTTAACATTGTATTAATTATATATATATAAATATACAATACACAAAATCCAGCGCACTCGCCTATCCACTAAACAGCAACTTCAATGTTGAAAGATTTTATTCGTTTTTTTAAAAACACCTAATCTAAGCAAAAATAATGGGGGTTTAATTACATTATATGATCATACATTGCATAAGCCTGCCACAACGTCAATGTACCCCATTCTTGGCAGGTCCTACACTAACAGCCTAATGTCTGCTCTTATGAGATTAACCCACTTACTTGGGAAAAAAAATTCCATCTGGGGCTCTCTATATTTTATTTACATTTAGGTATATATATATATATATATATATATAGTGATGTATACGTATATACTTATGTATATAGATATATATATATTTCATTCTACGTGTATTTTGATATCAATATATATATATTAATATCAAAATACAGTTAGAATGAAATTACACACACATATAGCTATATTATTTATTTATTTATTATTTTTTTTAATTTTTAAATGTATTTAAATTTTTTTTCTATTATATTTAACCCCTTAAGGACTGGACTGTTTTTGCGATGTTGTACATTTGCGACCAGGCATATTTTTACACTTTTGTGGTGTTTGTGTTTGGCTGTAATTTTCCGCTTTCTCATTTACTGTTCCCATACAAATTATATATTGTTTTTTTTTCAGGACAAAAGGGGCTTTCTTTACATACCATTATTTATATAATCTCATGTATTTTAATTTAAAAAAAATAAAAAAATCTGATGAAAAATTGAAAAAAACATTGAACGACAGCAGCGGATACAGCAAATACAAACACAGATCAACAACATACACATGTTGAAAACGGTTCATATAGCAAATAAACTAAAATTCACTACTTACACACAAGCAAATAAAGCAGGGAAAGCGTTGGCGTCGATACTTAGGCAAAAGCATCTGAACGCCAAAATCCCTTTCCTCCTTAACGAGAAAGGAAACAAAATATTTAACCCGCAAGACATAAACGATATGATGGCCGACTATTACGATGCACTATATAACTTAAACACAGACGGTGACACCCACCAACCTCTCCCATATAACATAGATGAATTCCTATCGGGAATGAGGCTACCTAGGCTGACCCCAGACAGCATTTTCACTTTAGAAACACCCGTCACACTTAGCGAAATACAACACACAATAAAGACGCTTCCTAAAGGGAAATCTCCAGGACCAGATGGGTTCACAAACCTATATTATAAGACCTTCTCACATACGCTAACACCCCACTTAGAGAAACTATACAACCATATATTAAACACGGGAACCATACCCCAAGAAATGCTGATAGCCCATATATCAACCTTACCCAAACCCGGCAAACCACCCCACAAATGCCAGAACTTACGCCCAATATCACTATTAAATACAGACCTAAAAATACTAGCCAAAATCTATGCTACTAGATTGGGGAACATTTTACCATCCCTGATAAAGGATGACCAGGTGGGCTTTGTTAAAGGATGACAGGGTTCTGACGGGACCAGGAAACTCATAAACCTTATCCACAATATTCAACAGACAAAGGAACCCAGTGTGGTCCTGTCACTAGATGCAGAAAAGGCATTTGACAGGCTGCACTGGGGATACCTGGAGGCGGTCCTTCAAAAATACAACTTCCCACATCGCTTTTTGAAGCTAGTTTCCGCCCTGTATGACAAACCAACGGCGAAAGTGATCAATGGAGGCTTTGCCTCCAAACAATTTCAAATCTCAAACGGCTCTAGGCAGGGCTGCCCACTATCGCCCCTTTTATATATCCTTGCACTAGAACCACTAGCACAAACTATCCGGGAAAACCGCAACATATCGGGGGTTACTGTGGGCAACAAGACACACAAAATCACATTATTTGCCGACGACGTGATGCTTACCCTGACCAAACCTGAAACATCCTTACCGGCACTACAAGCTGTAATCCAAAAATTCGGCAACTGCTCATACTATAAACTCAATGTCGCCAAAACCCAGGCCATGAGCTTCAACATTAGGAACCCAAGACTCTCAAACCTGCGAGCTGCCTTTACATATGACTGGAGACAGGACCACCTTACCTTTTTAGGAATAGCGTTAACACAACATACACACAAATTGTTCCAAGCTAATTACGTGAAACTCCTACGGGAAATAAATACTCAACTACAAAACTGGAGGGGGAAATATGTGTCGTGGATGGGTAGAATAGCGGCGGCAAAAATGATGGTACTGCCCCGTTTGCAATACCTATTTAGGACACTACAAATAGATCTCCCAAGGCAATTTCTTAATAAGTCCCAACAGACAATAAATGCGTTTATATGGGGGGGGAGAAGAGCCAGAACTGCAGCAGACGTCCTATACAAACCCTTCAGAAAAGGAGGAATGGGGGTGCCGGACATCTCACGATACTATCATGCGGCCATAATAGGAACGCTAGTACAAACGCACCACAACAAAAATTCACTAGCGTGGAATCAAATTGAAACGGTGCACACTGAGGGGCTACCACTACACGCACTAGCATGGATGCCAGTTGACAAAAGGCCACACCACAAAATGATATGCCTAACTACGACAACGACACTGAAGGTGTGGGATAAATTAGTTAAGAAACAACAATCTCGAAAGCGAATCTCCATAGCTTTCCAACTTCAGGCACTAACTATCCTGATTCCAGGATTCGAATATAAAATATGGCACTCTCATGGGGTATTCTGCCTATCGCAGGTTCTAGACAACGGACATATGATGGACTATGACACACTACGCAACAAGTACAATCTCCCACCTACCACCTTCTTCCCATACCTACAACTAAAATCGTGGGTACACAAACACTATGATAATACACAAGCCCAGGGACCTTTCCTCACAGAGATAGAACGTTTATGCTTAGCAACAAAGCCTCCGCAAAAGCTACTATCCACCTTGTACAGTTTGATCGGACCAAGCGACAGTATAGAACAATTTCAGTGTCTTAAAGCATGGGAAAAGGAACTGGGACAAACACTGACACCAGAAGAGTGGTCTAGCACATTGAGGGCCCACAAAACGCTGACACTAAACACAGCACATATCGAAATTAGTAGGAAAATACTATATCGTTGGTACATGGTGCCAACCAAACTCCACAAAATAAATCACGCAAAGAGAGACACTTGCTGGAGATGTGGTGAGTCGCCAGGCAATATGGTACATATATGGTGGGCATGCCCGAAGTTAATCCCCTTTTGGTCCGAAATATCGGACATATTAACAGACATTACGGGAGTAAAACTGCCGCACACTCCGCTCTCCTTTCTTCTATTAATTTGGCCCGTAACAATGCGAAAACCAGACACATACATTGCATATCACATCATTATTGCAGCCCTGACCGCCATCAGTAAAAGCTGGCTAAAACCCACACCTCCTAGTGTGCGACAATGCGTGGAAATGGTTGAAGTAACAAAAACATTCGAGAAGGCAGCAAGAAGCACACACAAATCTAGAGGATACTGGTTGCTAGCGTGGAGCAAATGGGAAATATGGAACCAACAAAGCTGTACCCCATAACCTCTGAAATTGAATAGGGAGCAAACTGGGCACACCTAATCCTCACTACTATTGTGACATACTATTGTGACATACTATTGTGACACACCTTTGTGACACGCTATCGTGACACGCTATCAAGACATAATTACGCCCGTAGTAGAACGGTAGAACGGTATCCCTATGAACTAAACCGAACTCGTCCCTATCCCACATCTCCCCTACCCTCTCCTACCAAGTATAACCCCCCCCATGTTCGTACCACCCCCTACGCCAAAGCAAATTCACCACACGCATGTATGGAGGCTATCTCTCTAAAAACAATGGCCACCGGCCTCCAAGAGACATCTATGGTGCAGCTAATAGACCATGTAAACAAGACGAACTATAGATGCAAGAAGCTATAATATATATTGCTGATATATGATTGTGATGTGTGAACTTGAAAAATTTGTAGCAAAACTTCCCTGTTCCCCTCTTCTCTTCTGTACCCCTATTGCATTTATACTTTTGAATGACAAAGCAATAAAAATAAAAAATATCAAACACAAAAAAATTAGGTCTGCATTTTATATATATGTAGGTCTGCAAATTAGGTCTGCATTTTATATATATGAAGAGATACATATGTTTTTCATAAATTATAATTGTTATTGAACTTAAATAAAAGGAAAGTTTTTAATCATTTTTTTTCAAACCTTTTTGTCTTCTGTTTCGGGATTTAGTGGAAAGCTTTGGATACAACTCAGAATTGTGGATTAATCATACGACTAAAAAGACTGTTCAAAAAGCAATCTTGTATTTCATAGTAATTTATAATTTCATGTTACAATAGATTGAAATATTGTAACATCATCCCGATACAGCCCCAGAGGACTGTAAACATTGATTATATTGTTAGGATGGCACCTGTCCAAGGATGGGATATATTGGGCAGCAAGTGAACAGTCAGTTCTCTTATTTCATGTGTTGGAAACAGTAGAAATGGACAATTGAAAAGATCTGAGTGACTTTGACAAGGGCCATATAGTGATGCTAGATGAATGGGTCAGAGCAACTGCAAAACGACAAGTCTTGTGGGGTGTTTCCAGTATGCAGTATTTAGTACCTACTTAAAGTGGTGCAAGTAGGGACAACCATTGAACAAGCTCATCGATGCACATGGGAAGCAAAGGCTAGCCCATCTGGTCCGATCACACAGATGAGCTACTGTAGCTCAAATTGCTGAAAAACATAATGCTGGCCATGATAGAAAGGTGTCAGTACACACAGTGAATCGCAGTTTGCTACATATGGGGCTGCAAAGCTGCAAACTGGTGTGCCCATGATGACCCTTGTCCACTGCCACAAATGCATTGAGTGGGGACATGAGAGTCAGAACTAGGAAGAAAGTTGCTTAGTCTTTCTTTTAGATTGGGTTGATGGCTGGGTGCATGAACATTGTTTACCTGGGGAAGAGATGGCAACAGGATGCACTATAGAGAGAAGGCAGGTCGTCAGGGACAGTGTTATGCTCTGGGCAATGTTCTGCCGAGACACCTTGGGTCCTGGTTTCATATAGATGTTACTTCGACATGTACGTAGATGTTACTTCGACATGTACGACCTACCTAGAGATAGTTGCAGACCATGTATACCCCTTCATGTCAGTGGCCTCTTTCTGCAGGATAATATACCCTGCAAAAATTGTTTAGCAATGGTTTAGGAACATGACAAAGAATTCCAGGTGTTGCCTTGGTCTCCAAATTCTCCAGATCTCAATCCAACTATTTTGAGCCCTGGAGTCCCCACCTTGCAACTTGCAGGACTTAAAGGTCTGCTGCTAATGTCTTGGTGCCAGATACCACAGGACATGTTCAGAGGACTTGTGGAGTCCATACCCTGACACATCAGAGCTGTTTTGGCAGCACAAGGGGACCTACACAATATTAAACAGGTGATTTTAATGTTTTGGCTGACTAGTATATGCTAGAGGGATCTATGTTTTCCATGTTTTCCAAGTACTTCACTTAGCAATATAAATGTTCTTATTTCCTTATTCCAACAATCCAATTTTGGAATAATAATTATTTTCCTCTATATATAACTTGCAATAGGCCTTGATGGCTGCGTGACAGCAGATAGACACTGTAGTTTGCACCAAAAATATCCCATATAGAATAATTTAAGTGAACACTAAATTCAAACATATTACTGGGAGATAGCACATGAGTTTATAAATCATGGAAAAACACACTTCCAATTCAGTTAAATAAGATAATATATTCCAAAAGTAAATTTGATTTTTTTTCTTTTTATGTCATATTTCAGAGAACACATCTTCGAGAGGTACAAGTCAAGAAACATCAGCAACGACAGAAATCACAACAACCATATATTATACAACTACAAACCAATCACTGCCTACAAGCAGTTATCACAACACTAGCTCAGTAACTTTAGTCTCCACATCTAAACCATCAGTAAATTCTCAAACAGTTCAAGAAGGACCAACAACAAGAACTTCAACCGAGAGCACAACTATTAAACAAGCAACTAGTGAGAACAACGTTTCAAGCAGGGTAACAAATTCTAATACTACAGAAACCTCTGAAGCAACAGGCAAAACATCCTCCATACCTGCTAATAGTACAAGCAGTCATGAAGTTTCAAACCCTGAGACATCCAATCCTAGTATAAACACTAAAAACATCAGTCATGAGCAAATGACTAGTACAGAATCTCCTATATTAATACAAACATCAACAGTGGCATCACCTTCTGCAATACAGAGTACTGAAGCAGTGTCTAAGTCAACTATAAAATCAACATCAACACAAAGCACACCTAGTGAAACATCCAGTCCAGTGACAAGGGACGTGTCCACTCAAAGTACCAGGCATGAGCAATCCACCAGTACAGAGTCTCCTTCATTAATTCAAACATCAACTTCTGCATTACCTACCACACTCCTTAAAACTAATAGCCATAGGGCTACCGAAACAGAAGCTGGATCTGCAACACCTCCAATATCGACATCATTCCAAACCACACAAACTGAAATATCCACTCATGTCACCTCTGGTATAACAACTACCATTGGTGAGCAATCAACATTTACAGAGTCACCTACATCCATACAAACATTGTCTTCATTAACTTCTGCAATCCACAGCACTACCAGTAACGTGGTTCTCAAAACTGAAGCCCTGACTACAACAACGTCAATCCCAACATCAACACAAAGTACACCTAGTGAATTCTCCACTCCTGTGACCTCCATCATAACCACAAAAAGTATCAGCCCTGAACAATCAACTAGTACAGAATCTCCAACATCAATACACACCTCAACATCTTCATACACTTCTGCAATTCAGAGCACACTTAGTGAAACATCAAGACCGGTGACCTCTTCCACAACTATTCAAAGTACCAGACATGAGCAATCCACCAGTGCAGAGTCTCCTTCATCAATTCAAACATCGACTTCTGCCATACCTACCACACTCCTTATAACTACAAGCCATGGGGTTACCCAAACAGAAGCTGGCTCTACAACACCTCCAACATCAACATCATCCCAAAGCTCACAAACTGAAACATCCAGTCATGTCACCTCTGGTATAACATCTAAAGGTACCATTGGTGAGCAATCATCCACTCTTGTGACCGCCAGCATAACCACAAAAAGTATCAGCCCTGAACAATCAACTAGTGCAGAATATCCAACATCAATACACACCTCAACATCTGCATCCACGTCTGCAATTCACAGCACTGCCAGTCATGGAGCTACACAGAGCACTCTTAGTGAAACATCCAGTCCAGTGACGTCTTCCACAACTATTCAAAGTACCAGACATGAGCAATTCACCAGTACAGAGTCTCCTTCATCAATTCAAACATCGACTTCTGCCATACCTACCACACTCCTTAGAACTACAAGCCATGGGGTTACCCAAACAGAAGCTGACTCTACAACACCTCCAACATCAACATCATCCCAAAGCTCACAAACTGAAACATCCAGTCATGTCACCTCTGGTATAACAACTAAGGGTACCATTGGTGAGCAATCACCTCTTTCAGAGTCTCCTACATCTATACAAACATTGTCTTCATTAACTTCTGCAATCCACAGCACAACCAGTAATGGGGTTACTAACACTGAAGCCCTGTCTACAACAGCTCCAATCCCAACATCAACACGAAGTACACCTAATGAATCATCCACTCTTCTGACCTCCAGCGTAACCACAAAAAGTATCAGCCCTGAACAATCAACTAGTACAGAATCACTTACATCAATACACACATCAACATCTGCATTCACTTCTGCAATTCACAGCACTACAAGTCATGGAGTTACACAAAGCACACTTAATGAAACATCCAATCTGGTGACCCCTTCCATAACTACTCAAAGTACCATAAATAAGCAATCCACCAGTGCAGAGTCTCCTTCATCAATTCGAACATCACCCTTTGCCATACCTACCACACTCCTTAATACTACAAGCAATGGAGTTACCCAAACAGAAGCTGGCTCTACAACACCTCCAACATCACTATCATCCCAAAGCTCACAAACTGAAATATCCAGTCATGTCACCTCTGGTATAACAACTAAAGGTACCATTGGTGAGCAATCAACTCTTACAGAGTCTCCTACATCCATACAACCATTGACTTCATTAACTTCTGCAATCCACAGCACTACCAGTAATGGGGTTACTAACACTGAAGCCCTGTCTACAACAGCTCCGATCCCAACATCAACACAAAGTACACCTAGTGAATCTTCCACTCTTCTGACCTCCAGCATAACCACAAAAAGTATCAGCCCTGAACAATCAACTAGTGCAGAATCTCCAACATCAATACACACCTCAGCATCTGCATTCACTTCTGCAATTCAAAGAACTACCAGTCATGGAGCTACACAGAGCACACTTAGTGAAACATCAAGTCCGGTGACCTCTTCCACAACTATTGAAAGTACCAGACATGAGCAATCCACCAGTGCAGAGCCTCCTTCATCAATTCAAACATCAACTTCTGCCATACCTACCACACTCCTTATGACTACAAGCCATGGAGTTACCCAAACAGAAGCTGGCTCTGCAACACCTCCAACATCACTATCATCCCAAAGCTCACAAACTGAAATATCCAGTCATGTCACCTCTGGTATAACAACTAAAGGTACCATTGGTGAGCAATCAACTCTTACAGAGTCTCCTACATCCATACAACCATTGACTTCATTAACTTCTGAAATCCACAGCACTACCAGTAATGGGGTTACTAACACTGAAACCCTGTCTACAACAGCTCCGATCCCAACATCAACACAAAGTACACCTAGTGAATCTTCCACTCTTCTGACCTCCAGCATAACCACAAAAAGTATCAGCCCTGAACAATCAACTAGTGCAGAATCTCCAACATCAATACACACCTCAGCATCTGCATTCACTTCTGCAATTCAAAGAACTACCAGTCATGGAGCTACACAGAGCACACTTAGTGAAACATCAAGTCCGGTGAACTCTTCCACAACTATTCAAAGTACCAGACATGAGCAATCCACCAGTGCAGAGTCTCCTTCATCAATTCAAACATCAACTTCTGCCATACCTACCACACTCCTTTTATCTACAACTTATGGAGTTACCCAAACAGATGCTGGCTCTACAACACCTCCAAAATTAACATCATCCCAAAGCTTACAAACTGAAACATCCAGTCATGTCACCTCTGGTTTAACAACTAAAGGTACCATTGGTGAGCAATCATCCACTTCTGTGACCTCCAGCATAACCACAAAAAGTATCAGCCCTGAACAATCAAGTAGTACAGAATCTCCAACATCAATACACACCTCAACATCTGCATACACTTCTGTAATTCAGAGCACACTTAGTGAAACATCAAGTCCGGTGACCTCTTCCACAACTACTCAAAGTACCAGACATGAGCAATCCACCAGTGCAGAGTCTCCTTCATCAATTCAAACATCGACTTCTGCCATACCTACCACACTCCTTATAACTACAAGCCATGGGGTTACCCAAACAGAAGCTGGCTCTATAACACCTCCAACATCAACATCATCCCAAAGCTCAGAAACTGAAACATCCAGTCATGTCACCTCTGGTATAACAACTAAAGGTACCATTGGTGAGCAATCAACTCTTACAGAGTCTCCTACTTCCATACAAACATTGACTTCATTAACTTCTGCAATCCACAGCATTACCAATAATAAGGTTACTAACACTGAAGCCCTGTCTACAACAGCTCCGATCCCAACATCAACACAAAGTACACCTAGTGAATTATCCACGCCTGTGACCTCCAGCGTAACCACAGAAAGTTTTAGCCCTGAATCTTCACTAATAACATCAAACTCAGTTACAACTAATAAATCTACCAGTATTACATCCTCTGGCTTAACTACTACCAGTCTGAACACTTTCACAACAACAACACCACCACCTTCAACATGTCCTCCTTATGCAAGTGGAGACTCCTGTGAGGTTGGAAATCAAAACGTGGGTGTTGTAATTGGTAAGGCAGTGTTTTTATTTGCTATTATTTTTCACACAATGTTTATTTTCGATGTATTTTATAATTTTAATAGTCTCCTTTTCTTTAATTTAAAGCTCTATATCCTTATTTTGCTGAAAAAGAATAATGATGCATTATGCTTTATATCTGCATGCTCCTGGTTTATCCTCGTTTAGAATAGCACTCTAGCATTGTGATATATTCTAACAGATTCTTAAAGTATTCCATTAAGTAGAAATTAGTTAAATAAATCCTAACTGAAATTAAGGGAAAAAGGTGCCAATTTCTGTGAGTAATTTGTTGCTCAACATGACCACAATAAAATATCTGCCCAGTGCGTAAATTACCAACCTAGTTATAAATTTGAGAAATATGCAATCACTAAATATATTGGTCAATATAGTGGATTATAAAAAATTAACATGCAGTTGTTCACTAATAGTGATGTCGCGAACCGTTCGCGAACTTGCCGCGAACGGTTCGCTGCGGTTCGCCATGGATGCTGTCCAGGAGGTGGTAGGGTCTGGGAGGGAGGGTCTGCCGGAGATTGGCAGTGATGTGTCAGCTGACCGGAGTTCACCACGAACTGTTCGTGGCAAGTTCGCGAACGGTTCGCAACATCACTATTCACTAAGTACATCTCCCATGCCTCTCTATTGTATAATACTAAAGTCATTTTATTTTGATAACCACTTGTAAGGATTAATAATAGTCTGAACATGCAATGTGTAGGTCAGTATAGAAACTGATTTTGAAAAAGGGAAACATGTTATATCGAACTTTACCACGGTTGGACTTAATGCAACAAAAAAATCTCTAAGACATGAAGCACAATTACAGAGTAGTAGGATAGGGAATAACTCTAGTGATGGGGACCAGAGGTAAACAGTAAGAAGAAATGAGCCAAGTCAAGGATCACAGAAACCAGGAGTAACCAATGTACTATCTGAAAAAGTATAACAATCTAAAAAGCTAGACACCACACTAGGGCAATGAGCTCATAGCATTTAGTGCGTTATTATAACATTTTAAAGATTAGGTTGAAAAAAGTGCGTAAGCAGCATTTGGGGTATTGGGGTATTGCTGAAGTGCCACAACGTTTCTTAAATCTAGGTTATGAACAGAAGACTATAATGG